CTCCCCTAATCTCTTCCTTCTTTCAGCCTAAGCCATAATGGTGCGTCAATTCTTCTTTGTCGGCTTAGTCCTCCCCCTCCCTTCTTTCCTGGCCTGCCCCACCTCCTGTCACCTTCCTAAATTGAATTAAGTCTAATTAGATCATGCAGGAAACGCGATGGCTTATCACTGACATGAGCCCCATGGGCCATCCACAAAGCCTATCTTCTCTGCACAGGCCCCCCGTTGAGCTGGCCTTTCTGCTCTCCCTCAAGACCTGGTGTCAGGTGCTCCTTAAGTTACAACCATCCATTTGAAGGGAAATCAGGCCCAAATGGGTTACCCTTGACTAGTCCTAATGCTTTTAAAGCCTGCTTACCATAATGACACTACACTCTTCTTCCTTAACCTCATAATTGGATGTCTGAGATGACACCACCCCATCCCCCAATAACTAGATCACTGTTTCTCTGCACTTAAAAGCCCTCCTAGGTTCTTGCTTGGGTGAAGCATCTCTGTGCAAGAAAGAACCTTCTCATCTCCACGCTCAACAGTCCCTGCATGGCAAGAGGTGTGTGTTGGGTCAACCGATCACGGAAAAACTCAACAGTCGAATAAAACTGAAACCACGTCTGTAGGGAGAGAAGATGGGATGAATCAGCCGAATTGGCTTTCTCTCATGTCCGGTTGATGTAAGGACTCGAGATTTTTCCATCATGTTTAATAAATACATCAACTAATTTGGATAAGTTGACAAATCCCAATCTAACAAAAATTCTCCTCCATGGAAGGACTATATCAAAGAAGAGCAGCGACAACAACAAAAAAGGAGAACAGCACTCTCCAAATACGTTAAGTTATACAGAGGAGAGGTAGGAACTGTTCTCGATCCTCCCAGAGCACAGGACACGTCATCCTGGGGAAACCTACAGGAAGCCGGATTTCGGCTGAATGTCAGGAAAAACTTCCTAACCGTTAGAGCAGTACAACAAGGGAACCCATGAGCCCCAGAGGTGGCAAGAGCTCCAACGCTGGAGGCCTTCGAGAGAAAATTGGAAAACCCTCCGTCAGATCTGTTTTGATTGGCATCCCGGCCGTGAGCAGCAAGTTGGACCTGGTGGCCTTCTAGGCCATTCCAACTCTGTGATTCTGGGGTGGCCCTTAAAGACTATTTGTTATATTTTAATTTAATGTGAGTTCTTGTGGTTCAAGTCCACTTCAGTGAGAGTAAATGACTGCCGTATTTCTAAAGTCTTGAACATCTAATGTCTGAGGAGGTAGATTTGTTCCATTCAAACTGTATGGTAGCAGATAGCGGACACCTCTTTTCACCTCTATTAGGGTTCGATTTTAGGCTTTGAAAGAGCTTTTCCAGAAACAAAAAAGCGCCAGATGGTCACTACTAGTTTTCAAAGTACAGTCAACCCTCGACTTACGAACTTAATCTGTTCCGGAAGGACAAAAAGTTTGTAAGTCGAATCAAAATTTCCCATAGGAGTGCACTGAAAACCAATTAATCCGTTGCAGCTGTTTTTGGATCTTAGGTCAAGGGGCAGTTTGTAAGTTGAAGCATTAGTTCCCATATGAACTAATGCAAAGTCGGTTAATCCGTTCCTACCACTAGGGCAGGATTTTTGTTCTTTTTTCCCCCTTTTAACCTAAGATGACAGAACACCTTTAAAAGCACCTTTTCAGCTAAGACAAGCACCTGAAAGTTCAAATTTCACGCTTTCCCCACCTCCCGCGCATATTTTTCCATTCGTAACTCGAATCAAACTTCGCTAGTTGAGGCAATATTTTCCTATCAGAGCAATTCGTAACTCGAAATGTTCGTAACTAGGGCTATTCGTAAGTCAAGGGTTGACTGTAACTCAATGAGCCCAAATGATGTTTAAAGTCCGAATCATGTACCTGAAAATCCTCTAGAACAAGGGTTATCAACCTCGCGTCCCCAGATGTTCTTGGACTACAACTCCCAGAAATCCTGGCCAGCAGTTAGTGGTGAAGGTTTCTGGGAGTTGTAGTCCAAGAACATCTGGGGACCCAAGGTTGGCAACTGCGACTCAAAGGGCATGATTTTCCTTTGGGGATTTTTTTTTAAATTGGGGAGTTTCACAGGCTGTTGGTAAGGCAACCCCCTACTAGCCATGTGGGGCTTAGAGGCCACACTTTCCCCACCCCTGCCCTACGCGGAGGAACTCCGAAATGGAAACAGAGACTCACTGTGGGAACATCAGAGTCCTCCGTCTGATCTGAATCGCGCTGCACCCAAGACTTGTAATGACTTGAGCTGCGCTTAGAAAGCAGGCAAAGGATGTGCCTAAAGCTCTTCTCTTCCCGTTGCTTACAATGACACCCGGGCGTCCAGGATGAACTTTTGTGGGAAGGCAGCGGAAACAGATGGGAGGGCAGGAGGGCAGCGGCTGATCCAAATTACACTGAGCCGGTTTACCTGCAAGCAGCCACTGCACAGCTGTTGCCCCTCAAATAACCTCAAGGGCTGGGATAAATCCAGGCTTTGCCAGAAAGGAAGAAAACGAGGAGAGAGGGAAGGAGGGAAGGAAGCAAAAAGAGAAAGGAAAGAAGGAAGGAAGGAAGGAAGGAAGGGCAGACAGAAGGAAGGAAGGAAGGGCGGAAGGGCGGAAGGAAGGAAGGAAGGAAGGAAGGAAGGAAGGAAGGAAGCAAGCAAGCAAGCAAGCAAGCAAGCAAGCAAGCAAGCTAAACATAGATGAAACTTAAGGAAAACAGTCTTGCAGGGGATGAAAACGGAGGACAGAGTGAGATCTGACTCCAAGCAAGCAAGCCAGCCAGCCAGCAAGCCAGCAAGCAAGCAAGCATAAAGAGAGAGGAAGGAAGGAAGCAAAAAGAGAGGAAAGACAGAAGGAAGTGAAAAGAGAGGAAGGGAGGGAGGAAGCAAAAAGAAGAAGGAAAGAAATGAAAAGAGATGAAGGAAGGAACGGTCATATAAAAGTTTTATAGATATTAATATCAATAAGCTAGGATTTGCCCATTATTCCCCTAGCCTGTTTTTTTTTTAAAACAGCCAAGGGACACAAGGTAAAGATGGTCCCTTTAAAAACTCCGGACTTCAACATGTCCATCAGAATTCAGAAAGAAGGACATTCAAAGCAAAACCCAGGGAAACACATTTGGAAACAGTGAACAGGAAGTGAAAACAAACTAAACATGGAGGAAACTTAAGGAAAAAGTCTTGCAGGGGATGAAAACGGAGGAGAGTGAGATCTGACTCCACTTTACCCTCTTTCTCTGGATCAAACGGTGCAGAAGGAGGTAACCAAAAAGGCCGCTGTGATTAGCCGCTCTTGTAGGAATTTCTTCTAGCTTGTGGTCCAAGCCCCTGGCAAGGGACGAGGAAGAAAGAAATGTGCTTTAAATTGAGGCAAGAAAGACAATCCCTTTCTCGGTCCGTCTCCTTGAATTTGGTGGCACGCGATTCTGGAAACGGTGCAAAAAGCAAGAAAGACAGAAACACCACCAGCAGTTTTTACACGGCCAGATTGAGGACAGGGACCCTCCTTGACATTGAGCTTCAACCCAAAAATAAATGCACAGCCACCGGAAGGCTTAGGGCCGTTTCGGCTCAGAATGGCATCAGTCCACTTTCACCCTCCTGGACGGAAAGACGCGGCTGCCGAAGAGCCCAATTCCTGCCTCTAAAACAAAGCCAATATCCAGACAGGAAACATTCCTGTCTCGGCCTGGGGAAGGAGGAGGGCTCCTATCGGAGAAACAAGGCGTTTCCTGAGAAAACTGAAAAAGCTTTGACTACCCATCCAAAGAGTGAGAAGATGTTGACCTGCGCCATTTAAAAAAAAAATCTTCCTCTGTCCTTGGGGAACTTTGAAAGGAGAAGCATCCTCATCATGGAGCTGAGAATTTCTGGAAGGCAGCAGAAAGCAGGGGCGAGGAGAGAGGAATTATCTTCCCTTGCCCTGTACATAGTACTGGGCACAGAAAACAAACTGTATTTCAAAGCATGTATTCGTGTCAGGAAAAGAGGTAGTGAATTTTTTTTAAAAAAAGGGGTTTTCAAGTTTTCCTCGACAGAAATCACTTTAGTGTCCCTCAGTCCTATCAGGACCCACCAACATTGCCCCTTTTAAGAGCAGGAAAAACTTCTTAACTGTTAGAGTGGTAAGAAGATGGAACTAATTATCTTGAGATGATGATGATTAAAACAAATGTTTAGCTACTTCCTTAAAATCGGAAAACGCTTCAGACACAGGCCAAATCACCAAAGCAGAGTCAAGTGTGCACGTTGGTGTATTATAAAATGGTTTCCTTTTACAAAATAATAATAACAATAACAATATTTCCATGAACTATGTACAGACAGTCAAAATGCTAACAAACACAGGTCTGTAGATTAACATTCTTCCTAAGGTCCTTTCCTTTTTTTAAATTTTCTCTCTCTTTTTAAATATACCTTATCCCTCCCCCACAAAATCAACCACAAAAAATCAGCGAGAGTTACATCGTTCGACAGCAAAGTCCACAAGATGTCTTTGGTGATATGTTCGAAAGAAAACGAGAAACGGACACCCCACCACGAATCCCGACCCAAAGCAAAACATGTCCAAAACGATGGCAGCATGACCATTCATAATCCTGGCTGGTTGACGTGGTCAAGGCAAAGCAGAGGAGAATCAAGGTGGTCCCACTCAGTTCACAGCTTCTGCTTACCCCATCCCAAAATAACCCAGATAAAAACCCCGGGCTCTTTTGTGGTGGACCAGCCAATGCTTCACGGACACTTTTCATTTTGAAAGACAGATAAGAAAACCTCCGAGGTTCTTCAGCCTCGGATGATCTGTCGTTGACACTCAACCGGGCTGTGTTGAGTTCAGGAACAAGCGACTTCAAGTCACAAAGGACTGAAAATCAAGGCGGAAGGACCTTTCCTGGCACTAGCAGGTTTTAAAAGTTCAGTAAGACCCCCTTATCTGTGGGATCAGTATCCGCTGATTCAGGAATCTATGGCATGAAAATATTTTTTAAAAAAATCCTAGAAATATATATTTCTAAAGGAAGTTACCAGGCTTGGCCACTAGAGGGAGCCAGAGACCAGACGATGTATAGCCTTCGCTATAATCCGCATTTCCAGCATCTGTGCTGGGCTTGGAACCAATCCCTTGTAGATACGGGGGATCTACTGTAGACATTTGGTTGGTTTCCACCAGACATTCCAACAATCGTTTCTGCCCAAATTTGTGTACATTCTCAGCTTCAAACAAATACATATTCAACTCGAGAGCTTGGGAAGTTACTTTTTGAAAGTAATCACTCCCCCATTGTTTTTTAACGTATTGGAAAGCAACTTACTACACTTCTGCTTATGCAGTTTGTTGCTTTTCTATTTGCTTCTTTAAATCAAAAACTGAGGATTGATCAGAAAATAGCACAAAACGCAAAAAAAGCTTCCCATTAGAAAGCTAAGGGGAAAAAAAACTTTAAAAGTAATTTCTGAAAGTAATGAGAAAACATTTACTCATTGCACCAATAAAGTAACCATGTGTATCTGTTACACTATTTCTGAAATGTAACTTCACCACTCCCATGTTAACCAGAAAAGTAACTAGTTACAGGTAAATGCATTATTTGTAATATGTTGCATCCACGCTGTTACAAACCACATCCCATATTAAAGTGTTGTTTTTTTTGGCCATTTCTGGATTTAAGACTAGCCAATCTTAAGCTAATGCACAATCATTAGTTTCCAAAAAGTATGGCTCTAGGTCAGAATCTTCCTTCCAGATATGATGCACTGTAAATCCCAGACTCCACATGGCAGGCGAAAGCTGTTCTGATTCATGTGAAAAACAGGGTGACGTCTGATGCCACCCAGGTGCAGTCAGGCCTAGATCTAAAGCTGAAACTGGACTTTTCTCTCGTTCAAAGCCTAGGGTCAAACTACATGTTACAGGGAAGGGTATATTTTCTTCCCACAAGAAAATAACCTCAGGCTTATGTGCTTCAGCAATCAGATTGCGTCAATGAAAGCCTGTGCTCACCCTGCAATGACCAATCACAAAAACAGAGAACACTAAATGCAAGATACCTTGGTGAAGAAAACTCATGCCCTGTGTCAAACAGATGTTTTTACCTCTTGAGGGAGCATTTCTTCCAAATACATGCTAAAGGTGTCCAGTTAATTGCACATGTATGCATGCAAAATTCCAAGGACACGGATTTTTTCAAAACAACATAAGAGCAAGGAGAAGTACACCAGCTTTTCCCAGCTTGGCGTGTTTCAGTTGTGTTGCAACCACAATGCCCGTCGTCCTCCTTTAAAACGGCCAGCGGCCATGCTGGTTGGAATGCTGCACGTTATGCTCCACTATACTTTGAGAATGCCACGCTGGTGAAGAGTTCAGTAAACAACCAAATAAATAACAACCAAAGTACCCCAAAGTGTCATTCTCATCTAAGTATTCCCGCTATCAGTGCTGCGTAGGGAGCTCACTGGTAAATTGGGTGCTCTAAACATTCCACCAAATGAAATTTAGTCATCGGAAGGAAATCGAGTACAGTAGGACCCCTGAACCGGCAGGATTGGTATCAGTGGTTTCACCTATCCGTGGTCTGAAAATATTAGAAGAAAAATCCCAGAAACACTTATTTCCACAATGTAGTTGCCAGAGGTGGCCACTAGAGGGGGGAAGAGACCATGCTCTCCCTCTATAGAGAATGAGTTTGCTATTATCCACGGTATTCAGCATCCCCGTGGAGGCTTGGAACCAGCAAATATGGAGGTCCTACTGCAATTGGATACTTAGCAATAGGTTTTGTTTTAAAGATACACAACGACAAAATATCTCTTTCTGATGCTTGCCATCCCCCAACCCATTAGGGCCACCCCCCTCTCCATAGCACCTACCACCAACGATGTCACTCTGCACATGTCACTCTGTTCAACGGTTAAGTCCCATGGAGTTCACTGAGGTTTCCTACCGTTTACAGGGACACAGCAGCAGGGCTAGGCTGAAGACAGCACTCCAGATGTTGTGGGACTCCAACTCCCATCCTCTGGGGGCAGCACAGCCAATGGTGAAGAATTCTGGGAGATGGGGTCCAAACCCATCTGGAGGTCCATGCTTTAAAAAAATATTATTTATTTTTTAAGGAGGCCCACACTTTTGACCACTCCTGGTGTACAAGATGGGAGCATTAAAGGCCTCGACGAGTACTTTTCTCCCCAGCCACTTTGCCCTCCCTTACTCACTGCCTAACCTTCCTGGTTACCCCCTTCTCGCTCCCCACCCCTCCTCCTGACCCACAACACACCTCGTATTTTCTTTTCACCGCTGTTTGAGACTCCAAAGGCCACCCAATACTAAGGCAAACCTCTAGCTGCCATTCCTAAAGCGCATGTATTGAAACTTTCTGCACAAGTTCGGCCCTTCCTTCCCAATTAACACCCAGAGGCAGGATGGGTACATTCTTACACAACCCCAAAATTGGGAGCAACCACGATGGATCCAGTCTTCCCTTCCAAGGAAGCGGGTCTAGGACTGGGCTAAAACCTTGCACACTTATTCTTATTTTGCCACAAGCCACTCACTCCAGTTTTTAAAGTGGCCAGATTTAACATCCACCCTCTCTGCTCAAATGCTTTTTTTTAAAAAGAAGTTAGCAACCTCACTGGTTTTTAGGAAATTACGTTCATACCTGCTTTTATGAGAACGCCAGGCAGGAAATTTGGAGGAACGTTTTCCATGGATGCCCAAAAAGTCAGAGACCCTTCCCACTTTCAGGATTAACAATGGTCTGCTCTACGGAAGGATGATTCAAGGGAAGCACTGTAACCGTTCTTAGTAGCAAAGTAAAGTCCTGCCATGGAAGCAAGAGAGCGGAAAAAACCTGCAGCTCCCAGCTCTATATTACAATTGTTTGTGTTACTTTCTGTCAAGTTTTAATGACCCTACAGACTTAAGGACCTCCAAAAGGTCTAAAGTATGCCTTAGCCCCTTTCAATGTTTTTCCAGTCCCTTGTATCCCCTTGGAACTCCCATCCCATTGAGAGCTCAGGAAAGAGGCCTTTCTGGACCACAAGACCCAGACTCCCCCGCTAGCCTGGAGGAATGGTAGACTTATAGTCCAGATAGCCGTCCTCTCCGAGCTTCACCCGAACCTTTCTTTGAACTGTCTCCCCCCAAGCTATTTGGCTTTTGTTACATTCATGACGGCACAGGGTGGAGCGGTCCCAAATCTGCAGATCCCCAGCCGGGCCGGACGTCCCACGGCTCTGCCTTTAGGAAGGACTCAGCTCTGCCTGCGGCGCAGCCGAGACACGCCGTGCGTCCACCCCCACGGGTTTACACCGCGTCAGCTCGCCGGGGGAATGAGCAAAACCGAAGCCGGGAGGCAGGTCGCCGTCGTTCTCTTCCAGAGGCAGAGCCCAAGGGCGCTTTTCAGCCTCGCTGTCCCCACCAGCTCTGCAGAGGGCACGTCCTTCTTGGGGCAGGACGGGCGTCTGCAGAGGCAGACTGGACGGCCGGGCCATCGGTTTCGTTCCCGGACTGCCGGCTCCGTCAGCGTGAGATTTCCCGGGAGGCGCCTTGGCAGCATTCGGTGCCAGGGACCGAAGCGGTACTTCTGCATCCAGCTGCTCCAGGGCAGCCCATGTGCTCGGGACGGCTGGCGCGCTGAGCTCACCACTCCAGGGTTTCACCGCTGGCAAGGAGGAAAGCTCCTTCTTGTAGGGTACATTCTGTAGTCCCGGCCAAGAAAGGGCACCGCCGTCGGCTTCCTTTTCTTCCGGAGAGCAGGGAGCGCTTGCCCGGCCGACATTCCACCGAAGAGAACTCGGACCCTTCTTGGGGGTCCCGCTCCGGGGAGACCAGAACTCACACGGTTTGAAGCCATTCCTGGAGAGCTGCAGACTCGCCAGCTCAAACTCCAAACTTTCAGTATCGAGGGACCGGCTTCTCCGGCCAACGGAGAGCACCTCCGGGCCGGGCAGGCCGAGCTCGTGAAGGTGGAGACGCCGGGGAAGGCTGGCGATGCTCCAGTTGCAGCTTTGGAACGAGCTCCGAGGGTATCCGGGAAACATTCTCTCGTCACATTCGGCGAAGGATTCTTTCGAGAGGTAGCTCTCCTCGAAGACCTCAAAGGACGCCGCGATGTCATCGTCCGTGTTCATCTCCAGGTGTTGCTCACACTCTCCTTCCCCGTCCTGTTCCACGTCCACGATGTCGAAGGTGACCATCGTCGGGAGGGCCGGGAGGTTCTGGGTGAATGCAGAGCCCGAATCCGAGCTCCCGAGGCTTTCCGAGAGGCTGGAGAAAAGGGTCCCGCTGCTGGTGAACTCCACCAAAGCTTGGGAGAAGTTGACGGCCTGTTCCAGTTCGCACCCGCTTCCCGGACGGGGCTCTCCGAAATCAGACTCGGCCCGGTTGGGTTGCTCACCCGTTGGGGACCCACGGCTGCTATGAGTTCGGTAGGAAGGGTAAGTCCCGGATTTCTCTAGGGCCAAGCCACGGAGGGCGCATGACTCAAGCAAGGCGTGCTCGCCCTTGCCATCCAGCACAGACCCGTTCCCGGAGAAGGGAGGAGCCAGGCAACCTCCTGGCTGGAGCATCTCTTGGAGGTCTTTCCAGTCCTGACTTGGGGTCGGTCTCCCCAACTTTAGACTGCTGTTCTCTGCATGAGGGGCCACCTCCTCACAGCCCAGGCCATTGGGATTTCGGCCAATGAAGCTGGCCACTCTGGTTTTGCCTTCCCTCGGCGGCTTCTCTCTCAAAGGCTGATCCTTGCTGAAGCTCTCCAGATGTTCCAAGGCGGGCGCCCTCTGCCTCTCCCAACAGAGCAGCTGTTTCTGGATGGCCATCAGCCTCTCCTCTTCAGTCTCTGTGCCTTCGCTCTTCTGGCCCATCCAATGAACCAAGTCCTTCTCATCCGGGAGGGAAAAATCGAAGAACCAGCCAAAGACCTCCGGAGGGCATGCTTTCCTCTCGAACCACGGCTCCTCTCGAGAGGGGCTCATCAGCGCATCATCGGGTTCGTAAAATTCGTAAAGAGCATCGCCGCTGTAGCTGTCCCTTGGTAGCCTCTCCTTCTTGACTTCCTCCAGCCCATCGCCAGCTTCATCCTCGGGGCCCGGGGTGGCCGAGTCGTAGTACCCCTCGTCGCTATTCGGAGCAGATTCCTGCTGATCGCTGTGCGGCGTCAAGAGATCTGCCTCGCTCCTCGCACCTTCGTGATAGAGCCGAGTCTCTGCTTTTGCACCGTTCGCTCCCGGAAGCTCCCCTTTTGCCACACGCTCCGGCCCATGCCCTTCGTAAGCCGGCTCCTCTTTCGCAGTCGTTCCCCACACCTGCTGGAGGTACTCCTCTATCTCGTCCGGCACGGCCATCTCCTCCCCTCCGCCCTGGTACGTCACCAGGCAGGAGCTCCTCTTGACGGCCTCTTTGCTCCGATCCGCCGAGGTCGAATTTTCCGTCATGCTATCCATATCTGGTTCGGCGATGATGTCTCCGCAGCCAGTGAGGGAGTCAAAGCTTTTGAGGGAGGTGACGTCTCCAAACATCAGGCTCAGCTGGTCGTTGGATGGCATGCCGGGAGGGCTGCGCTCCAGATCCCCAGGCTCAAGAGGGTCGGGAAGGTCGCCGTAAGAAGAGCTGTCACAGAGGGCGCTGTCTGGGCTCACCTCCACGTCGGGAGAGCCTTCTGGGTTTGCTGCCTCCCCACACAAGCGGCTTCCGTTTCCCTCCAGTGGGTCCTGAGACCCGTCGGGGCTGCCTGCTACCCCAAAGGGAGCGCTGCCCTCCGGTTTCTCCCCGCCATCTGGCAAAAGAGACGGGCTTTTCCAAGCCCCCTTCTCGGAGGCCTGCAACGTCTCCGCGCTGTCCCGCTCGCTCGCGACAGCCCTCTCTTCGGCAGCCAAACCCTTGGCCGTCCACTCTTCTAGCTCCGTCCTCTCCGGTTCGGGCGCTTTGCTTTTCCGGTGGCGCCGGATGCTGTTGAAGAACCCCCTTAACCCTTTCTTTGGCCTCGAGGGAAACAAGGATTTTTCCCCACTGGACGGCTTCTTGTCAAAGCCCTCCGAATGTCCGGAGAGAGAGGCCGGCGGCCAGACCAAGCTGACCCGGAGATGGGCTTCGGTGCCCAAGAGGGCACTTTGCGAAGTGGGCAGCTGGGAAGAAGGGAAATCCACCCTGTTCTCCAGGGGACTCCGGAGCAGCCCCGAACTGGCATCTTCGTAGCCCACGTCACTGATGCCGTCGTGCGTCTTACTCTTGCTCAGTCCCTTTTTCGAGGCACCTTTCCCCGGGCCTTTGTTTTTCCCTCCAAAGAAGCTCGGCAGGGTGCAGATGCTCCTCTTCCCGCCAAAAAGCTTAAAGGCCGTTTTTTTCAGCTTGCCAGCCGGCACTGGAACCCGGTTTGGCTCGGAGGTGGCAAAAGATGCGTCGCTCTTTCCGGAGAGCCGGTCAGCCGCCCCATTCTCCTCCTGGGCCCGCTGCTGAGTGCCGTCCCGGACGGGGGGAGGCATGGCGCCGGTTCTCCCTTCGAGACAAGCTGCTTCCGCAACGTCCATTCTATCCTACAGATTTCGCTGGAACAGAAGATGCTCGCCGCTCAGTGTCCTTTGACTGGGGCATCGCAGTTAACCTGAAATGAGAGAAGGGAGGGAAGGAGGGTGTGGGAAGAGGGAGAACGTCAGAAGAGCCTCTCGCAGTAACAAGAGTTTCGCCCCGTTCAGGCCCTTGCCAAGACCTGGGAGGGCTTATAAAGAGAGGGAGGAGCTACCCATCGGGCCCCACCCTCTATGTTCTTGCACACAACCCATTCCCCTGCTGCTCACCCGCCTTGCGCTGAACACTTGAGCTCCGAAGCAACCATTTGCGTGGCAGATTAAAAAGCTCAGAGTCTTGCCGCAGGAAGATGGAAGTCACAGAATCCTAGAATCAAGGAGTGGGAAGGGGCCTCTAAGGCCACTTGAGCACAGCTCCCCCCCCCCGCTTAAGGCACGAATCCAAGTCAAAGCAGATCTGACCAACGATGGTCCCATTTTCTGTTGAAGGCCTCCAGCATTGGAGCGCTCACCACCTTCTGAGGTCATGGGTTCCCTTGTCGTACTGCTCTAACAGTTGAGAAGTTTTCCCTGTTATTCAGCCGAGATCTGCCTTCCTGTAGCTTGAGCCCATTATGATGTGTCCTGCGCTCTGGGATGATAGAATAACAATCCTGTCCCTCCTCTGTAGGACTACCAATCAGGTCCTAGGAGGGAAACCTCACGAGTAAGCTTGAATCCATTTACTTGTTGAATTTAGCCCTCCTAAAGGATTTTTTAAAAAATTGTTACTTCCCACTTTAGTAAGGACCCTCTCCTTCTTCTCCTCCCCAGTAAAGGAAACCCTTTTACGGTGACCTCAGACCTGATCCATGGTAGAACGGCAAGTCTTGGGTTTCTCAGCTGGGCGCTCAAGAAAGCAACTGTCCTCACAAGAATCCATAGATTACCTCTCGGAATTTTCCTTTCCTTCCCCTTTTGCAGGGGGAGAGAGTTCATATCCGTAGGAAAGCTGCAGTCTCCTCCCGACACCAGTAAAGACCAGTGCTCCCAGCTCAGGGGAATGAAACAGCTGCCCTGTTAGTTAATGCCATTTCTTATCAAAAGTAACCACCCCCATCTGGATTCTTCTGGTTTAACGTCAAGTCTTCTTTCATCGCTCCAGCAACATCTGGCACAGAACATTTACAAAACTCAAACCAGGAGTCAGAGATTTAATGTAGCACCAGGGGAGGAGGGAGAGGGAACCACCCCCATGTTCAGCCAGTTGCACTCCTTTCTCCAGCCTGTTCTTTTGCAAAATGCTTCAGGATGTGAATGCCACCGAGCAGAGCCTTGGGGGTTTGAGAATGTTGCTATCTCTATGAATTAAGAGGATGGCCCGCCATGCCTCAAACCCAGGCTCTCCCACGGATGGGTCCTCGCCCACAATTACAGCAAACACAACCTTTCATTTCTGCCTCCACCACTGCCGTCAGCCGGGCACACAAATTGTCAATCTATGAGCTCATGTCTCTTGGGAGAGCCCTCCAGAATGCAAACATCAGGAGTTTGCTTTCAACCATCCATTTCTCTAGTAGAGTAATTTTAAAACAATCAGGTCTAGGACTCTCCTTGGCTTTTGTAAGTAAGCCAACTCTCCTTGGCTTACTTACATCAAAGTAAGGCTGGCTAAAGATATGAGAAAGTTAATTTTTACCGCCAACGCCAATCTGCATGTCCAGTTGCCCTTTCTAGTCAGGGATTCTGGAGAGTCTTCTTGCAAAAAAAAAAAAAGTAATCTAACTTTGAATCAGTTGTGTTAATACCTGTTTTAATACCTGTATAGGCAGGATGTAATCTCAGATAGATCTGGCAGTCGCCAGGAGCTTCCTTTTCCAACAGGAAGTTAGGCCCGGGACATGAAGCCTGTTGGATAGGCCTTGTCTCCAGGCGAGCAAAATTTAGGTGCTGGTCTCTCAGGTGCAACTCCCAGAATGGAGAAGTAGTCCCCCCAAAAAAGCTAAGAGTCACACACCTCTCTTGCCAGTATGAGTTTGGAACACAACTCCCAATAAAGAAAGGAAAGAGAGTGAAGGATTATTATTTTTTTACAGGGCAGAGAATCTACCTTGACCCCTACCTGTTCTGCAGAAAAGCAAATTCCACTGAGATAACACAACTGAAAGGACCATGGATCATTGAGTCCAGAGCTAGAAGGGGCCCTACGGGTCATCAAGTCCAGCCCCCTTCTGGGAGGCACAGCAGTTAGGTACCCGAAACACAGAGCTAGCCAGCGGTTCTGTTTTTCCTTTTATCTTACATGATGAAATTTTAGCATTAATTACAACCAACAGAAAATCCTACGACCCACCCCCTTCCAGGCCTCCCTGTGGTTCTGCTTCACTTGACTACGTCTGCTGATGTATCCTAAAAAGCTCATGTTGAAATAAAATAGTTACTCTTCAAGGTGCCGTAACCTCTTCGGTTTGTGTTCTATTTTTGCTGTTGTCGTGATGATGGTGACAATGTCTGCATATTGTTCCACAGATCAAAGTGGCTACTCCTTTCAGGAAAAATGGTGGACCCGTCTGGTTTGAAATGAGCATCCATGGCCTGCAGCCGCCGCCTTCATCAGAACCACAATGAAGGATGATGACAAGCCAGAGAGCGTATGGGCCTTCTGAGGTGACCTCCTAAAGGTATACAGATTTTGGCATTTATCTCATGGACCAAAGGCCTATCTCTCCTTTTTAAATTCCAGGACCGGACAAAACACAGTCTGAGGGCCACGTGTGGCTACTGAAAAAATTTTCTGAGCCCTCTGGACCCCATTTTTCCTTGTAATTAAAACAATAACAACAACTGAGAAATGCCTTTCAAATAAGCACCGGGACCCTGCTGTACAGTTTTAACACTCCGAAACATAAACCACAGGGAATGGACATCCTGCTAATCCGGGGTTTTTCTGCTGTTGTTTTTTTGTGCATGCTACCAGACACCGAAACAGATCCTGCCCCCATCAAAATCAGTCCCAAACTAGCTCTACTCCTATAGGATCGAATCCATCAGTGACTTATTTACTCTAAAAGGCATGCACCGTGCATTATAATCTTTAAAAACAAAAGGATTCCTACCGTGCCTGGCTGACCTATTTTTAAAATCACCTGTTCCCGGAGCTTTCNGCATTATAATCTTTAAAAACAAAAGGATTTCTACCGTGCCTGGCTGACCTTTCTTTAAATCACCTGTTCCCAAAGCTTTTAAACAGGAAAATAAAACTGGGGGTCCTCCTGCCCCCGCATCTCTTGGGCATCCAGCTCCCCAATTCCAGCCCTGAAGGAGGAGCCCCTTCGAAACCGAGTACCAGAAGCGGACTTCTTTCCAACACAACTTTGGAAACGTTCCATGGTTTGAACGCCCGTTAACAGAACGTTCCTTTTTTCAAACCACCCCTCATGGAACGATCGTTCTGGTGGGAGTTGGCGTTCCTAAATAGATTTTAAAAAAGAAACGGGGAGAGGAGGGAACGGAGCGAGCCATCAAGTGGGCCGAAGGCCGGCTCTTCTTCCTTCCCGAGAGCGCCCCGAGGGCGCGTCGCGGGGCTCCCGGCTCTGGTTTGTGTGACGGTTGTTTGTATTCCACAACCAACAACGATCACAAACAAGCGGCGCCAGGCACGGAGGCGCCGGCCCGGCAGGTCGCCCGCTCGCTCGCCCCGCTCTTGGGAAGAGGGACCCTCCCGCGGCCAAACCAAGCGCTCCCCCCAGGAGGAGGGCGCCCGGCTTGGGGAGCCCAGGGGGTGCCTCGGCCCAAGGGCCCCCCGGATCGCGTCCCTCTCCCAACGGTGCCTCCAAGGACGGCAAAGCGCCCCGGCTCAGCCGAGGATCGGCGAGGAGGGGGGGCTAAAGGGAGACCTCCAATCCCCCCACCCAAAAAAGCCTCCGATCCTGGAAGGACAAAGCAAGCCTGGCGGGTTGGGTTTTTTTTGGGGGGCGCAAGGAGGGGCACCCCCCATGTAGCCCCCGGGAGGGCTCGCCAAAGGCCTGCCGACCTCCTGCAACAGGCAACCCG